CCCGCTCCCGCTCCCGCTCACTTTGCGTTCTCTGCCTCCAGCCAGCCCGAGGAGCGCGCGCGGCTACCGTGCGGCGGGATCCCGTGGGGATGAACCCGGATAGAAAGGACTGGCCGGGGGTCCTTTCTTGACCCCCTTGCGAACCAATTCGTCATTTGACCTCGGCTAATCCACACGGTTGTTGTTTTAGTGCTCCCCCCCCCCCATTTTATAACTCCAGTTTGGGAGGGGGGGTTAAAGGCAGAGGTTCTGTGTGAAAGGTGCTTGCTTGCCAATGGCCCGCAGTGGTGTGGGAAGGGGGACCCGGGGTTGTTTCAGGGCCGAGGGCTAGAGGAGGGGTTTCCCTGAAAGGGCGGTGGGCTTTGGGTGCAACATGTTGCCATTCAGAGTACAGCGAGGTTCAGAAAACAACCGAAGTCCCGTGTCTTCTGGCACTTTCCTCAGGTTGGAGAGAGCCACCGAAGATATTTCATTTTGCGTGTATAACAGGAGGCTTTCGTGGCCACTTAGCTGTGGACTCCCCTTCCATAAGCCGTTAGGCTTCCCCCTTCCAATTGCAGTATTTCCCTTCTATGTTTTCTAGAGGAGATGGATGGACGAATGTCAGGGAAGTGAGTATCATCAGGAAAATTTTCATCTAAGAGATATAAATCTGTGCTGTGTGATTTACTCCCTTTCTCCACGCCAGAGTGTATCGGGGATAAATCAGCTTGATGTGACAGGAACATTTTGCTTGAGTGTCTCTGTCGGTGGGGCACAGGGATGATAGCCAGACCGCTCTCAAGATGCAGCAGTGGAACAGGACTGTTTGATTGGAGTTTGGCCACATGTATCTCTATTGCTTCTTGTGGTAGAAGAAGAAAGAAGAGATGAAGTTCTGACATGACTTCATCTCGCACCTGGGTTACTGGGTTGGTTAACGAAATAGCTCCCTAGCAAGAGAGATATGGAAGGTTTTCACTTCTCTGAGCAACCAAAGTTTCGGTAGTCAATACAAGTTTATTAGGAATGTCCAATTTCCCCAATCTGGTGCCCCCTAAATGGGATGATTCAGCTCGCCTGCCAGTGTGTAGCTGTAGTCCAATACAACTGAAATGTAACAGGTTGAGGAAGCCTTAACATTATCTGTGTGTGTATGTGTGCATGTAATGGATCCCTCTGGAAAAGTTCAGGTCATCAGGGGTTCTGGTTTTTCAAAATTTTAGAGCATGTAAGCTGGGGATAGGAAACCTTTTTTTTTTTTTTTTGCTTCTCCAAAAACTACATTTCTGCCAAAAAAAAAAAAAAAATTTAAGGAAGATATTCTAGATACAGGAGCATATGGTGAAGTTGTTGGACTAGAAGTGGGGAGAACCAGGTTCAAGTTCCCCCTCTGCCATGGAAACTCACTGGGTGAATTTGGTCACTTTGTCTCAGTTCAACTTACCTCACAGGGTTGTTGTTGTGGGGAAAAATTGAAGGAGGGACTGCTCCATATGCCACTTTGCATGGCTGGAAGAAAGGTGGGACATAAACTATATAGATTCAGCCTGACTAGATGGGAAAATTGAGGAAATGAAAGAAGAGGACAGAGGAGACAGGCAGGGAACTTCATGTCAACAGAGGTGAATAAACAAGAGAATTCAATTCAATTTGAACTAAAAGGGAGATTTTTATTTGCTAAATGTTATAATGGGACGATATAACACATAGTCGTCATGGCTAAGTCCATCATGAAAGATGTCAATTAACTCAGGTGTAATTTTCAAGCTTCAAATTGTTCTTGGGCACCTGGATTTTATGCTTCCTTCTGGCAGGAAATGTTCATTTACCTGTGTCCAGTTGGGCGGCCTTTTGACTTGAGAAACAGAGCCAGGACATGCCACAGAGAAAAAGGAATTATTTTATTTTGCTATATGCATTTACAGCATTGACATTTTGTCCAAGAGAATAACCAGTTTTCTGAATACAAGTGGTTCTGGTCCCCTGAAGTTAGCAGGTTACCTGAAGTAACTTCTGGCCTTGTGAAAAATCCATTCATATACCTTCAGAGGATTTCTCCATGCTGTGAGCAGGATCTATGAATTGTTTCATTTTTGTCCTGATTTCTTTGCTCACCCACTCACTAAAAATATACTGTCAAAAGAATCTTTTAAACTTGCATTATGCCAAGATGTGTTGAGCCTGTGAAAGCACTGAACGATAAATGAAATTGAAACAGCATGAAGAAAATCCTTTGGTGGCAAAATCCAGCAGGAACTACTGGAAGCAGGGAGGGGAGGGGAACACACACCTGGTTGTTTGATTACTTTGGCATTTGGAAGTTTGAGTGTCTATCTCTGCGTTGGTTTGTTAGTTCAAAGTTCTCTGTTGATTGCAGAGATTTCCCAGTTTTTGTTTTTTTAAAAACTGTGATGTGGGGTTAGATATAAAAATTTACCTACATTTTCCCCTCAACATTTGTCAGTGCTCTTAACAAGTATCCAGGAGATGGTTTCTCTCCCCAGCTCGCCTCTCCAATCCTAGATTTCTAATGTCTGTTTTTATTTTCTGCCAATCATCTGAGTTCAGAATTTCAGTTTGAGTATGAGAAACTTGTACTTAAAATGTCCAGCAAAAGCATCGGCTTTTCGTTTGGAGTGGTTGGCAAGCAGATATCCTGCTAGTTAGATAGATGAAGCTGTTAGAAAAAAATCACAGAAGCTGAAGGAAACTTGCCCATTGCCAACGTTCTGCTTTCAAGGTAAAGGCTCTGATTGTTCCCATCACCCCCTTTTGTACAACAGTGTCACAAGGTTGGATCTGTTTTCTTTGCCCAGGTCACCAGCCCCAATGGGAAATGGTTCAGTGAAACCCAGGTACCTGAAGAGGCCAGACAGCCATGTCGGAAGTTGTCCTTTCGGTTGTTCCCGTTGCAGCAAGGTCCTGAAAGACCCAGGGTTGAGTATCAGTACCATCACAGGTGCTGCGGATATTCTGAGAAGCAAGATCTGGGAACTTGAAAAAGAACTGAAGAGGCAGGAGGAAGAGTTACACGAAAGGAACTATCACATCCTCGAGCTCCAGGAGCAACTCGCCAAGCAAACGAGGACCATCTCAGATCTTACTGAGGAGCTCAAGTGTAAATGCATCCAACTGAACAAGCTACAAGATGTTGTGGTCACCCAAGGGACAAATCCTTTCCTGTTTTCCACCCTTATAGAGACACCCAGGGCCAGCCAAGTGGCAGGCAACAACAGGAGGAGGGGTGCAAAGGAAGGGGTGTCTGCAGAGCCAACCACCCGGACATATGACCTAACTGAGCAACCTCGGTTTTCTTTTGAAAAAGCCAGAGTCAGGAAGGCCTCCAGGTGAGCAACTCTCTTGTTCCAGTTACACAGTAGAGCAGTGTTTCTCAACCATAGCAGCTTTAAGATGAGTGAACTTCAACTCCCAGAATTCCCCAGCCAGCCATGCTGGCTGGGGAATT